TGTGCATGTATGTGCAGGTGCACTTGGAGGCCAGAAGAGGGCATCACATACCTGGGAGCTGGGGTCGGGCAGTTGTGAGGTGCCTAACATGGGTGCTGGGAACCCAACCCTGATCCTCTGCAAGAGCAGCAGGTGCTCTTAAATGCTTAGCCATCTCTCCAACCCTCTTGTGGGCTTTTATAGGTGTTCTGCATCCCAACTTCTATTTTTTTTTAAATCTTTTTTTGAGACAAGGTCTCCCTGCAGCCCCATCTGGCCTGGAACTCGCTATGTAGACCAGGCTGGCCTTGAACTCACAGAGATCCGCCTGCCCCTGCCTCCCAAGTGCTGGGACAACAGGGGTGCGCCTCCACACCCGGCCCAACTTCTATTCTTCGTCTTTACTATTACTGCTTACATCTTCCCTCTTCATGTTCCCTGCTTATAAAACACGGCTCCACCCTCTTCTGAATTTTTAAAATATTTTATTATTTTTATTTTGTGTGTATGAGTATATTGCCTGCGTATGTAAGTGCACCTATATCATGCTGTGCCTGTGGAGGATGGAAGAAGGCGTTGGAGTCCCTGGAACTGGACTTATGGATGGTTGTTAGCCACCATGTGGGTGCTGGGATTCAAACCTGGGTCCTCTGCAAGAGCACCCAGTGCTCTTTACCGCTAAGCTGTCTCTCCAGCCCCCCTCTTCTGAATTTTAACCAGAAAGCACAGCAGCTGAGAGCGGGTTCTGATTCCAGAAGCTGATTTCTGCTGGTGTCTCACTGTGTAACCTCAGGTACTTGTTCAGCCCCCTGTGCCTTGGCCTCTTCCTCTGTACAGTGGGAACAGTAATGGCATCTGCTTCGGAAGGTCATTAGGAGGGTTTCAGGAGTAGTTGTTAATTTCCTAGGAAATGTGAAATGCTACATAAGTAGGTTTTGGTTTTCTGGTTTTGAGGAGCATTTTTGGTAAATAAAATAATCTTTTAACTCCATCTCTTCCTTTCTGCAGAAAAACATCTTATCTCTTTCCTCGTTTTCTTCCTCTTGGTTAGCCACTGCCTGTGCTCACCTTCCTGTCAAAATGTTCCCTCCGCTTTCTCACCAACTCTTACATCACTTGTTTATTTGAGACAAGGTTTTATGTAGCTCAGGCTGATCTCAAATTCACTATGGAGCCAAGGATGATCTTGAACTTCTGATCCTCCTAATCCTGTATCTCCCAAGTGCTGGGGTTACAGGTATGTGATGTCACATTCCTCTTTGTGTGTGTGTGTGTGTGTGTGTGTGTGTGTGTGTACATGTATGAGCAATTTGTGTGTGTGATTGCAGATATACCCACTGTGTGGAAGTCAGAAGACAGACAACCTCTGGTGCTGGTCCTTAACCTTCCACTTTGTTTAAGATATTTCTAGGCTGGGCTTGGTGGCATATGCCTTTAGTCCCAGCACTTGGGGAGCAGAGGCAGGCAGATCTCAGTGAATTCGAGACCAGCCTGCTCTATACAGTGAGTTCCAGGACAGCTAGAGCTGCAGGGAGACTCTATCTCAAAAAGACAAAAAAATAAAAATATACCATCTCTTGGGCTAGAGAGATGACTCAGTGGTTAAGTGCACTGACTACTCTTGCAGAGGACCCAGGTTCGAATTCCAGCACCCACATGGTGGCTAACAACCATCTGTAACTCCCCTTCAGGGAATCCAATGCCCTCTCTGACCTCTGCAGGCATTGCACAACATAGGTACACTTACATACATGCAGGCAGTACACTCATACACATAAAATAAAATAAAAATAATAAATTTTTAAAAAAATAGCATCTCTTGGTTGCCTTTCATGCCTGGACATGCTGGTCCATTGCCTCTGAGGGGTCTCCTGTCTCAATACCCATCTCCCCTGGAGGATTACAAGACTCTCACACTATCTGGCTTTCACATAGGTTCCAGGGATCCAAACTCACGGCCTCACACTTGTATGGCAAGCTCTTTTACCCACTGAGCCATCTCCCAGCCCACATGTCTCACTTTTAATATACCTTTGCTAAAATTAGAATTCCTGTCTAGATGCCATCCTGGTTCATGGTTGGCTTCAGTTTCTATTGCTCTAACTCCCTCCATGCATCTGCGAATTAGACTCTCATCATCCCATTGCCCACTTTGATTTTCCCCCATGCCAGAGATCTTTGATGACTCTGTACAAGGTCACTGGTCTCCAGCCAAGAGGTGCGTGGCGGGGAGGAGACACTCCACTAGGTGAAGAGACAGATGGTCCCAATGCCAGGGCTCTGGACTTGAGGCAGGTGCAGAGACACTATGACTGTACACCTATCTCAAACCCAGCATGCCTCATAAGAATGGCAATCAATGCAGTGTTCCTTCTAACCAGTGGCTTTGCTCCAGGCTCCCAGGCAGAATGGAACAGCTGTCAGTAGGAAGTACGGAGCTTGTATACAGAACACTGCGCGGGGTTATCGGAAGACCTGGCTCTCGGCCCCATCTCTGCTCACATGTGCAACTCTGACCTTGGCAAAGTCATATGTACCCATTTTGCCTTATGTACCTTAGAGAAGATGATAATGCTTACAGTTGTTAAGTATATACAAAATCACTTCTGAGTACACAGTTCAGCCGTGTACACACTAAAAGCTGTATTTGTTGTTTAGTCAAATCTCAGTTATCTAGCCCAGCTTGTCAGTGAATAAAATTCCTGCTCAGCTATCGGTCCATGCCAAGATGTTAACAGCAATAGGCAATTTAAAACCAAATTGGTTTTATTCATCAGTAGATTGAGAGTCTGCTATAGATGATCTAAAGTTACTGTAGTTTTATTCAATCTCAGAAACATTGATGTTTTGTTTTTGTATTGAGATGGGGTGTCACTATGTTACCCAGGCTGGTCTCAAGTTCATAGGTAAAAGCGATCCTCCTGCCTCAGCCTTCCGAGTAGCTGGAACTGCAGGTGTGTATGCCACTGCACTCAGCGTTTGTTATTTATTTGTATGAGTGTTTTGCCTGCAGGTATGTAAGTGTGCCGTGTGTGCAGTAGCCACGGAGGCCAGAGAAAAGTGTCGGATCCCTGGAACTGGACTTAGAGACAGCTGATAGCCACCATGTGGGAGCTGGGATCTAAACTAGGGTCCTCTGCAAGAGCAGCCAGTGCTCTGAATCGCTGAGCCATCTCTCCAGCTCCTGCACTCAGCTTTTACTACTGTTGTTTTGAATCATAAATTTGTTCCTGTCTTCATTTTTATTATTATTATTTTTAGTCTTTTTGAGACAGGGTCTCCCTGTAGCCCCAGCTGTCCTGGAACTCACTATGTAGACCAGGCTGGCTTTGAACTCACAGAGATCCGCCTGCCTCTGCCTCCTGAGTGCTGGGACTAAATTTGGGTACCACCACACCCAGTTTGTTGTTTCTGTCTTTGTTGTTGTTGTTGTTGTTGTTTAGAGGGTCTCAAGTATCCAGACTGGCCTCAAAGTCACTGTGTAGCCAAGGACAACCTTGAACTCCTGATCCTCTTTTTTCCACCTCCCAAGCGTTGGGATTTGTGCTGGATAGCTTTAGTGTCAACTTGACACACCTGGGTTGAGGAAGCCTCAGTTGGGGAATTGCCTCTATTGGACTGGCCTGTGGCCATGTCTGAGGGACATCTTTGTGATGAGTGATGTGGGAGGGCCCAGCCCACTGTGGGTGGTGCCACTCCTGGGCAGGTGGGCCTGTGTTGCATAAGAGAGCAGGCTGAACAGGGGCCGGGGGAGCAAGTCAGTAAGCAGTGACCCTCCATGGCCTGTGCTCCAGCTCCTGCCTCCAGGTTCCTGCCCTGAGTTTCTACCTTGGGCTCCCAGATGAACTGTGACCCGGGAGATGTAAGCTAAATAAACCCTTTCCTCCCCAAATTGGTAGTGGTCAGAGTGTTTTGTCACAGCAATGAAGAACAAACTAGGACAGAAATATACTTGTGTATCACCATCCCCAGTATATGCAGTATTGGGGATGGAGATGGAGCCCAGAGCTTTGTACATGCCATGTAAGCACTCTACCAACTAAGCTTCATCTCCAGCCCCTACCCTTCCCACCAGTACCTTTCTGGTGGAGAAATGCCCTGTCCATTTGTAGAGCATTTAGCCATATCCCTGGCCTCCAGCACTAAATGCCAGTCATGAGAATCAAGGGTGTCTCTAAGCCTTTAGTCCCAGCACGCCTTTAGTCCCAGCACTTGGGAGGCAAAGGCAGGTAGGTCTCTGTGAGACTGAGGCCAGACTGGTCTACATAGCAAGTTCCACATCAGCTGGGGCTACAGGGAGACCCTGTCTCAAAAAAAGACCCAATAAATATATAAATCTCTAGGCACTGCCTAGATGTCTCCCAGGGAACAAAACTGTTACTGACTAGGATTCACAGATAGTATAGTTTTTAAAATATGCAAAGTCTTTACTTGGCTAACTCCTCAAGCACACAACTCCATATTCTATATTTTCTATAAATTTCTACACATTCCAGGGAAATTCTAGACAGTTCATGTTTGGCTAAATTTTGGAATGATATGAAGCTGTTAACTGCATCAGGCTGGTTCAGCAAATAAAGGCACCTGCTGCTAGGCCTGAAAATCCGTGTTCCATCCCCAGGACCCCAATGGTGGAAGAAGAGGACCAACCTCCACAAGTTGTTTTCTAACCTCCACACACCATTAAGGTGTTACCTGTTTCTATTACTAAGCATTCTCATATTGCAAAAAACCCTGTTATTATGAACATAGTAATACCATCTCATTTTCTACTAGACAATGGTAAGTTTGACTCTTTCCTAACAGCCAATAAAACACAGAATGGACAGTACACCTACTGGGTATAGGACAGGCCCACAGCAAAGAGTGATCTGTCCAGTATGTCAAAGTGTTCGCAGTTCTGATGTGAAGCTACTGTGTGGGGACAAGGGTTGTGCACTGTGCCTTTCCTTGGCTGTGGGATTCTCTCTGGAGAACCTAATCAAGTCTCTGCTCTTTTTTCTCACAGCTGCTCATGGCACAAGTTCCTAAGATGCATGTTTACCATCTTTCCCTTCCTAGAATGGATGTGTTTGTATCGATTCAAGGACTGGCTTCTTGGAGACTTACTTGCTGGTTTAAGCGTTGGCCTTGTTCAAGTTCCTCAAGGTAAAGAAGATCCGAAGCCTTGTCACCCAAAGATCGTCTGTCAGACTTCAGTCATTGCCAGGAACGAACAGTTCTGCTGGGTGATCTGAAGAAAACATGGGAACTGTAATTAGTGTTCCCTTAGTTTCTTAGGTTTTTGGCTTCCCCGCACCCCCAGGATGGCTCCAAAAGATTCAGCTGCGCTTAGACCTAAGAATACTTCCCATGGTGTTTGCAACCCCCACTCCTGGTCATTTTTCCTCAGTGGGGATTTCAGACTCCTGACCACAGTAGATCTCAGATGGTATTGGTTTTGTTCAGAGAGATGAGCACTAGGAAACAAGGCACACCTGCATCTCTCCAGCGGGCATCAGCAGTGCAAGACCACAAGGTCACACGGTTAGGAGCCGGAGCTACCTGGGCTGTGGGAAGCTCTTTTCCTTCTGGGTGCAGTGGTGCACACCTGCAATCCCAGCCCTGAAGAGATGGGGCAGAAGGATTAGGGGCTTTAATGAGACCTTGTCTGAAAAACAAAAATATCTTGCTTCTAAACAGGGACCAATGACTCTTTTTAAATTTATTCATTTATTTAAGTTTTATGTGTATGACTGTTATGCCTGCGTGTATATAAGTGCACCCTTGTGCAGTGCTTGCAGAGGACAGGGTGTCAGGTATCCTGGAACTGGAGTTAGAGAGGGTTGTAAGCCACCTTGTGAGTGTTGGAAACCAAACCTGGATCCTCTGCAAGAGTGGCCAGTGCTCTTAACTGCTGAGCCATCTCTCCAACTCCCCAATTACTCTTTTTAGAGAGCGAATATTGAATTTACTAAGGCTACTGTAGCTTTTTTGTTAGCTGTTATTTATTTAAATGTTGGCACTTCACTTTTCTCTTTTTAAAATTTCCATTGTCTATATTAATTGTACATGGTACTGTGTTGCATAAGGACATTTTTGTCTAAATGTATACTGTTCATTTTGCATGCCTCCCACCTCCTCCTCTCTTCCCCTCCTGTTAGTTTCCTCTGTTCTTCTAGACGGTTCATCCACTTTCCTGCAAAGGACACAACTTCATTGTCCTTCGTGGTTGACAAACCCATTCTGTATCCACACCACACTTTTCTTTATCCATTCCTCTGTTGCTGGACACTGAGGTTGTGGAGCCAACAGCTCTTGTCGCCTAAATATTGTTTCCAGGACCCCACAAGGAACAAACCAATGACAAGAGTCCCTATGCTCAGAGACGCCCAAAGCTTGGGCTTCCCTCTGGCTTTTTCTTTCACCCACAATCGTTGGTCCAGATGGATTGTACTACCTGGGCTCATTTTTACCGGAACCAGTTCTTTCTGGTGGCATAGCTGACTTTCTCAAGGGAGACAGGCTAGAAAGTCAGCTCAAGACCAAATTTGTCCACAAAGAAGAGAATGGGTTTCATTATTCCTTAGCTCACACTAGCTCTCTCTTCCCTCTCTGGTTGGAGGTTGAACCCAGGACCTTTTGTATGCTAAGGATGTGCTCTGCCACTGAGTTCTACTCCAGCCCCTCCATCTTTACTGAACCTCCATCTGGAAAACACTTTGGTATTGTCTAGTAAATGTGCCCCAGGAGTTATTAAGGGTGTATAATCCTGTGCTGGACAGCTTTAGTGTCAACTTGACACACCTGGGTTGAGGGGCCCTCAATTGGGGAATTGCCTCCATTGGACTGGCCTGTGGCCATGTCTGTGGGGCATTTTCTTGATTGTTGAGTGATGTGGGAGGGGCCAGCCCACTGTGGGTCGCTCAACCACTGGGCAGGTTGCCCTGTATTGTATAAGAAAGCAGGTTGAGCATGGGTCAGGGGAGCAAACCAGTAAGCACCGGTCCTCCATGGCCTGTGCTTCAGCTCCTGCCTCCAGGTTCCTCTCCTGAGTTCCTAGTTTGGGCTCCCTCAGTGATGAACTGTGTCCTGGGAGATGTAAGCTGAATAAACCCTTTCCTCCCCAAGTTGGTATTGGTCAGAATGTATTTTGTCATCACAGTGGAGAAACAAACTACAAATCCCAAGGCATTTGTACATCTCTGCACCAGGAGATGGATATAAAAATATTCATAGCTTAGCCCCAGCCTGGAACTTAAAAGGCAGAATCCTATACAGCCCTGAAGAGGAGGGAAATGACGGCCTTAGACCCTGAAACATTTTAATCCTGGTTCCAGTGTCAAATGAAGTCCAGTGGTCCTTCATACCCTTCTAATAAATTTCCTATTTTGCCCAAGGTAATTTGAGCATATTTTCCACTATCTGCAATCAGTAGAGCCTTGTTTAAGAAAAAAAAAATGAAGCTGGGCCAGTGGCACATGCATAAACTGGTGGTAGCATGTGCTTGTGATCCCAGCAGTTGGAAGGTGGACACTGGAGGATCAGAAGTGCAAGGTCATCCTTGGCTACAGAGTGAGTTTGAGGCTAGCCTGGGCTCTATGAGATCCTACCTTAAAAAGAAAAAGAATGTGGAGTGAAGCCTGTAGATTACAAGAGACTTAAAGAGCTACATCAACCAAAATGAGCACCATATTGGGGTTCTGATTTAAACGCAAAGATTTTTAAAATAACGCACAGCATAGCGCCGGGCGTGGTGGTGCATGCCTTTAATCCCAGCACTCCGGAGGCAGAGGCAGGCAGATCTCTGTGAGTTCAAGGCCAGCCTGGTCTACATAGTGAGTTCCAGGACAGCTGGGGCTACAGGGAGACCCCGTCTCAAAAAGACCAAAAATCAAACAAACAAGTAAATCAATCAATCAATCAATCAATCAATCAATCAATCAATCACAGCATGTCTAGCAACAAATACTTTTCTAAAGATTGCCTCAGACCCTACCATACTCCTGAGTCAAGGTCTCTCGTGCGGCCACAGTCACTGTCATCTCAAGGCCCTACCAAGGTTAGATGTCCAGACTCCTGTGCCTGCTGTCAGAACTCAAGAGCTCCAGTCCCAGCTGACTGTTGTGTTGAATGACAGGCCTGGGCTGTTTCCCGTGTGAGCCATCCCACAGGCTTCTTGATGTCTTCATGGTATGACAGCTGAGGGGACTGACTGCATGTGAAGGGCCCAATACAACATGAAAATGCAGAGCCCCTAGTTCATAGAGGACTTACTCATGTGGGGTGTGGTGCCACATGCCTTTAATCCCAGCACTCAGGAGGCAGAGGCAGGTGGATCTCTGTGAGTTTGAGGTCAACCTGGTCTACATAGCAAGTTCCAGGCCAGCCAGAGCTACAGAGTGAGACCCTGTCTTAAACACTGATTCAGAATTTCAAGACACTGACAGGAAAACATTAAGTCAAGTATGCAGCCTCTCTATGCCCAGGATTCTCTCAGGCTACATAAGACAGATGCTGTTGGGTTTATTTATCTATTTTTTATTTTATGTGTATGCATGTATTGCCTGCACGTAGGTAAGTGCACCCATGTCATGCAATGCCCGTAGAGGTCAGAAGAGGCTGTCAGATACCCTGGGACTGGAGTTACAGACAGTTGTTAGCTGCCATGTGAGTCCTGGGATTTGAACCCGGGTCTTCTGCAAGAACAACCAGTGTTCTTAACCACTGAGCCATCTCTCCAGCCCAGATTTATTTATTTTTTGAAGCAGGATCTAAATATAGTCCAGGCTAGCCTCAAAGTCACTATGTAGCCAAGGATAACCTTGAATTCCCCAAACTGTCCTGCCTCTACCTTCCAAGTGTTGGGATTATGGACATGTAACCACCGCTCAGGTTTTATGCAGGACTCGGGGTCACACTCTGGCCTCATGTGTGTTAGGCAAGCACTCTACCACTGGAGCTACAGCCCAAGCCCCGATGTCAGACATTTCTGAAGGCAGCTCTGGCAGGCAGCAGCCTGAATGAGAACCTCAAAGAGAGCCAGGACCAAAGCCGTAGTTCTTTCTTGCAACTGTGTCTCAGAAGGGACATCCTGTGACTTCCATTACAATCTGTCCCTTAGAAGAAGGCAGTACCTCTGTCCCACACCTGAAGTATTGGCCCTTAGAATCACCTTAGAGACCCTGTATCACAACAACCATTTACCAGATAACCAGCAATATTGAAAATCAAGTGGATGTTGTGGTATTGTAGTTGAATGAGGAGTCTTCTTTCAGAGATGCATGCCAAATCCTCTGCAGAGGAAATGACTGCGTATCTTGGATTTGCTTCAAAATGACATAGGGTAGAAGAGGAGTGGGGCGCAGCCGAAATAAGATTGCCCATGGCTTGACCATTGCTAAAGTGGATGCTGGATTTAAAGGAGCTTGTTGCCCATACTATGTATTTTCTGTTTTAAATTTTCCATTAAAAAAAAAAAAAAAGCCTCGTCGGACCAGGAAGATGACTCAGCTGGTAAGAGGTGTTTGCCGTCTGAGATTACAAGCCTGATGACCTGAGTTCATTCTCCAGACCCATGTAAACATGGAAGGAGAGAACTGACTCTACATTGTTGTCTTTTGCCCTCTGCACACGTCCTGTGGTATACCCACGCAAACGCGTGCACAGACACACAAATAAAAATAAGTAGTTATTTTTTAAAATATTTAATTTTTTAATTTTTTATGTGTATAAGTGTATGACTTGCATGTATTTAAGTGCTCCCGTGTCATGCAGTGCCTGAAGAGGTCATAAGAGGGTGTCAGATCCCCAGGAACTGGAGTTACAGACAGGTGTTAGCTGCCATGTGGGTGCTGGGAACTGAACCCGGGTCCTCTGGAAGAGCAGCCAGTGGTCTTAACTGCTGAGCCATCTCTCCAGCCCCTAAATAAATATTTTTTAAAGCCTCGTATAGAAAGTATTGAAGGAAGGTTGAAAAAAAAGATTGGGGCGATGAGCCTATGGAAACAGACAGCACCTATCAACCTGGAGGCAAGTTAGTTCGTGTGATTCTTATCGTGGTTTCCAGTTGTTTTCAGCCCTGGAAGACTCCCAAACCCTTCTTAAACTGATCAAGGGATGAGGAAAAAGCTGCCTCTAAGATGTTGGAATTAGGGATCCTATGGCTGTATTGCTTCCTTTCTATGTGGTATTAAGACCTCTCAGTGAAAGGTATTTTAGCCTATGAAAAAGAGCTAAGATATAGGGCTAGGCTTGTAGCTTGGTTGGTAGAGTACTTGACTAGCACAAGGCCTTGGTTTGATCTCTAGCACTCATAAACCTGGCATGCTGGGACAGACCTGAAATCCTAGCACTTGGGAGGTGGAAGCAGGAGGATCAGATGTTCCAGGTCATTCTTGGCTACTTAGTAGTTTGAGGCCAGCCTAGGCTACATGAGACTGTGTCTTAAAAACAACAACAACAACAAAAAAAAAATCCTAAAACCCTGAAATATAAATGCATGTGGGAAATAGGACATTACAATGAGCTCTAGATATTCTTTATTTTTGTTTATGGTGACTTTTAAAGCCAATCTACCTTCATTGATTAAATAAATCATGCTTTTCAGGTCTGACACTTAGTTTGCTGACAAGGCAACTGATTCCTCCTCTCAACGTCACTTACGCAGCCTTCTGTTCTTCAGTCATTTATGTAATATTTGGATCATGTCATCAAATGTCCATTGGTGAGTTCAGTATGGGAGCCACAGGAGGTAGATGGTGTTTCTTCATCAGTTACTTACGTATTGCTGAGCAATCAGTGCCAATCAGCTTTTGGTCTGTGTGAGGAAGTCCCCCCAAAAAACATCTTAAACAAGGAAAGGTTTATGTTGGCTCACTTGAGTCCATGTTTCCGATCCCATAATAAGACATAATCTGAAGTGCATGGTAGAGCAAAGCAGCTCACCTCATGGCAGACAGGAAGCATGTATGCACACAGGCACACACACATGCACACACATATACATGTATGCAGGCACATACACATGGGAGAGGGACAAGATATACTCTTCAAGGGCACATCTCTGAGGACCTACCTCCTCTAATCAGACTCCACCTGGACTGTTACTACCTCTTCCTGTAGCATCACCAACTGAAGACCAAGATTCCAACACGTGAGCTTTTGGAGGGTACTTGAGGTCAAATCATAATATCCTTCCCCTGGCTCCCTACAACCCATGTCTGTCTCACAATGCAGATGCATTCGGTCTCTCTCCAAGAGTTCCTCTAGTCTTACTGGTTCCAGGGTTGTTCAAATGGCCAAGTTCAAAGTCTTCTCAGAGACTTAGGACAGCCTTTAGCTTTGAATAACTATAAAAATCAAACTTTAAAGCTAAGTATTTCTAAAACAGAAAGGTGGCACAGGTACAGACCAAACATTCCCATTCTGAAAGAGAGGAATGGGTATATATAAAGGAGGCATGGGGCTGGTGAGATGGCTCTGTGGGTAAAGGCACTTGCCACCAAGGCTGGCGATCTGAATTTGATTGCTTGAACTGACATGGCAGAAGGAGCGAACCAAACCTGCAGGTTGTCCTTTGACCTCTACACACATGCCAGGGCATGTGTGCACATGCATGCGCGTGCGCGCGCGCGCGCGCACACACACACCCACACACACACACACACTCCAACTAAATAACCAAATAAATAAATTGATTGAACTTTTTTTTTGAGGTAGTCTTGCTATACTAGCTCTGGCTGACCTGGAACACTCTTATGTAGATGGGGCTGGCCTCAAATCACAGAGATCTGCTTGCCTCTCCCTCCTGGGATTAAAGGCATATACTACCATGCTCAGCTAATAAAAAAAAAAAGTTTTTAAGAGAGAGGGCTGGAGAGACGGCTCAGTGGTTAAGAGCACTTCCTGCCCTAACAGAGGACCCATAGTCAGTTCCCAGAACCCACATTAGTTTGCTCACAACTGCCTGTAATTCCAGTTCCAGGGGATCCAATGCCCTCTTCTGGCATCCTGCATCCTTGTATGCGGTGCACACATAAGCAGGCATACACACATACATATAAATAAAAGGAAAAACATTAAAGCAAAGAGGAATGGGACAGGACCAAAGCGACATCGGTCCTACAGCTCCATGTCCCCCGTCTGGGGTGTGCAGTTTTGAGAAGCGCGCCAAGTGGGCTTAGGCAGCCCCGCCTCTGCCACCAGCTGCGGCAGCCCATACGGCCTCTCTTGGGGGCTGGCTGTGCTCATTGTTCTCTGCTTTCCTCCACAGATGTTCCACTCTCTGGCATCTCTAACATCCTGGAGTCAACACCACAGTACTGTTCCTTTAAGCTCAGCTCCCCACAAAGTCTCAGGGCATGGACAGAATGTAGACACATTCTTTCCTGGAATGTGACCTAAATTGGCCTGTGGTCCCATTCCCAATAGCGTGTCTGTTTTCATTTGAAATCTCATCAGCACAGTCTTTGTGGTCCACATTTCTGACAGCATTCTGGGCTTCTGAGATCCCATCATGGTTTCTCGTGAAGCTCTGCATACAGCATTCTATGCTATTTCTAGCCTCCTCCAAACTTCCCCAGATGCCTCTGCAAGTCTATTCCAAAGGCTCTGCACTACATCAACAGTTCTACTCTTAGTGCCAATTTTCTGTGTTAGTTGCTATAACAAAATACCTGAAGAAAGACTTATTTTGGGCTCATGGTTTCCATGTCTTGAGTCCATCTCTTGGCTCCCCTATTCTGGGCCTGTGATGAAGCGGAATGTCATGGTGGGGAGTAGATGGTGGAACAGAGTGACTCACTTCAGCCGGATGTTGTGGCTCATGCCTTTAGTCCCAAACACTTGGGAGGCAGAGGCAGGCAGATGTCTATGAGTTCAAGGCCAGCCTGGACTACATAGTGAGTTCCAGGCCAGCTGGGGCTACAGGGAGACCCTATCTCAAAAAGACAAAAAAAAAAAGAAAAAGAAAAGAAAAAAAAGATTTATTCAGAGTGATTCACTTCATGGCAGCTGGGTGGGGGGATGACAGGACATACCCTTCAAGGGCACACCCTAGTGATGTACTGCTAACTGGTTTCTTAACACCATTCCCAACAGAACCACCATCTAGGGACCAAGCCTTCAATACATAGGTTTTTGGGCAACCTTTAAGAAACTAACCACAGCCTAGCATGGTGCTGCACGCCTTTAGTCCCTATACTTGGGAGGCAGAGGCAGGCAGATCTCTATGAGATCAAGCCCACCCTGGCTACATAGTGAATTTCAGGCCAGCTGGGGCTACAGGAAACCGTTTCAAATAAAACAAACAATCCAAACCACAACAAAACCTGATGGTGGATATTCTTTCCATGTGGTTAGTGTTCATATAAAAAAAGTCCTTAGATGTGATGGTTTATGCCTTTGATCCCAGCACTTGGGAGGCAGAGGCAGAAGCAGGCAGATCTTTGTGGATTCAAGCTCAGCGTGGTCTACGTAACCTGTTCCAGGCCAGCCAGGGCTGCATAGTGAGACCCTGTCTTTAAAAAAAAAAAATCCTTTTGGGGCTGGAGAGATATCTGGCTCAGTGATTAAGAATACTGACTGTTCTTACAGAAGACCTAGGTTCAAATCCCAGCACCCACATGGCAGCTAACAACTGTCTGTAACTCCAATTCCAGAGGATCCGACAGTCTGTTCTGTCCTCTGTGGGCATTGCACGACCTGGCTGCACTTACCTACATGCAGGCAATACACGCATACACATAAAATAAAAATAATTTAAAAAAATTTTAAAATCCTTCTAATATTTCACTGTTAATGTCACCAGCAGACAAACAGGCCAGCAAGGTATTTCCCAAAGGAATTAAAGGGTAGAGTACTGTGTGAGAGCTCTGTGCCCTCAGCTAACAAGTCCAAAAGTGGAGTTGCTAAGAGGGCTCAGCAGAGAAAGGCACTTGTTGCTGAGCCTGGTGACCTGAGTTTGATCCTCAGGACCCTCAAAGTAGAAGGAGACAATTTACTCCTATAAGTTGTCCTCCAACCTCCACACAAGTGCCATTGTCCATGCATCCACACACAGAAGCACATGCACGTGCACACACAAACACTAAATACACTCAATGTTTTAAAAAAAAGAAACCTGGCTGGCGTGATGACTTGGTGGTTAAGAGAGTATACTTCTCTTGCCAAAGACCTGAGTTCAGTTCTGAGATCCCACATCAGGAGGCTCCCAACCACCTACAATCCCAGCTCCAGAGGATTTGATGTCTCTGGCCTCTGTAGGCACCTACACTTAGATACTCATACATGCACGCGAGCCACACACACACACACACACACACACACACACACACACACGATTGAAAATAAAAAAATTTAGTAAGCTAAAAAATGAAAATGGCTGGGTGTGGTGATGCATGCCTTTAGTCTCAGTACTAGGGAGGCAGAGGCAGGCGGATCTCTGTGAGTTCAAGGCCAGCCTGGTCTACATAGCAAGTTCCAGGACAGCAGGGCTATAGGGAGACCCTGTCTCAAAAAGACCAAAAGAAAAAAGAAAGAAAATAAAACAAATTTTAATAAGTTAAAAGAAAGAAATCCCCAAAGTGATTTTGTCAATATTACTAAAATAGATCAATTCATCAGCTGGGTCTGTAATAACCAGACACCATGATTTATAATATAGTTTGTCAGCGTATTAATTTGCAGTAAGAAAATTATAGCCATTTTCCTGAGCCAGAAGCCCATCAAAAATTGTAATAAAAATCTCTTCAGATCAAAAACAGTAAAAAGCCAGGGCATGCCTTGCTTTTGTGATGTCTCGGTTTCCCTGACTCCTTACCTGGTGCCCAACGTCTTTCTTCACAGGTCCCTTCTTCCTTGTGAGTGCTCTGATGATCAACGTCTTGAAGGAAAGACCATTCAGCAATGGTCACCTGATCATGGGAACTTTCGTCAAGGATGACTTTTCACTCCCCACCTTCTATGTAAACTATAATGGATCCTTGAGCACCGTGGCAACCACCACTTTTCTGACTGGGATTATTCAGGTAGGATCTGGGACTGTGGATTCTTGAAGGACTAAATAGAGGGTTTATTGTGGTTTGAATGTGAAGTAGTCCCCTGGAGACTCATGTATTGGCACACCTGATTCCCATCTTGTGGGCTTGGTTTTGGAAGATTCTGGAACTGTTATAGATAAAGCCTCAGTGGAGGAAATGGGCTACTGGGGGCAGATAGCCCAGCCCCACTTCTATCTGCTCACTCTGCTTCCTCTTCTGTCAGATGTGAGAGGGTGAGGAGGCCCAGCTGCACACTCCTCCCATCCTGGAGCCACCTGCCGCTGTGCCTCCATGATGGACTGTGAGCCCTTAGAACTGTGAGCCAAAATAAGCCTTCTTCCTAAATAGATATTTGGTCACTGCAACAGGAAAAGTAATTAATATAGTAGTTTTAAATTGGCCCCTTCCTCTATCTACTGTTATACTATTATACTGTTATACTATTATAGTGTGACTGCAACTTCTGTGATTTATTTCTGAGTGCTTGTAGATAAGGCTGCATAGTGAGACCAAAAAGAAAAAGTGCATACGGGGGAGCCTGGGGGGATGGCTCAGTAGGAGGGTGCTTTCTGCACAAGCACAAGGAACTCCAGCACCCATGTAAAAGACCAGGCATGGTGGCATACACCTGTAACCTCAGCTTTGGAGGATGAGAACAGGTACATTCTGAGGCCTTCCTGCACAGTCAGTCTAGCCAGTTTGAGGTCCAGGCTTAGTGAGAGACCAAAAAGTAAGACAGGGCCAGAGAGGTGGCTCCATGGGTGAAGGTCTTTGCGGCCAATATAAAATCCCTGGAACCCACAGGATGGAAGGAGAGAACCAACTCCCACAAGTTGTCTACTGACCAATACACACGTATCATGGTATGTGCATGCACACACATAAAAATAAATAGCTTTTTAAAATTTTATTTTATGAGTATATGTGTATTGCCTGCATGTAGGTAAGTGCACCCATGTAGTGAAATGCCCACAGGGGTCAGAAGAGGCTGTCAGATGCCCTGGAACTGGAGTTATAGACAGTTGTTAGCTGCCATGTGAGTGCTGGGATTTGATCCCAGGTCTTCTGCAAGAACAGCCAGTGCTCTTAACTGCTGATTCATCTCTCCAGCCCCAATACATAAATTTTTAAAATGTGCAGTTTAGTGAGAAAGGAGTGTGAACATGGTTAGAGTTGTAGACAAAGCAAATGTGGACAAAGTGGTTATAATTGCTAAAGAGATTAGAGTCTCTAAAGAAAAGCTACATGTGAGCAAATAAATAAATAAATAAATAAATAAATAAATAATAAATAAATAAAGGTAGAGACGTGATTGAAGAAGGCATGCTGATGTCAGCCTCTTCCTCCACACACACCCACATGGGCAAGCATATGTGTTCATACATGTATAGCATGCACACACACACACACACAGGACAAAAAGGGGACTGGAAAGCTAAGCGTGGTGGTACACACCTTTAATCTCAGCACTCTGGAGGCAGAGGCAGGTGGATCTCTTTGAGATCAAGGCCAGCCTAGTCTATATACTGAGTTCCAGGCCAGCAGAGTGTGGGCTCATGCTTATCAGGAACCACTGAGTTGGCACCCAAGGACCCCAGTTCAGTAGAGAAAGGGAGCCTGGAGTTCTCCAAAGTGCCTCCCTCCGACTTTTTGTTGGAGATCCTTCTTGAACATGGGACCACTGGAGAGTCTGGTTGGTGCCATTGCTGACTTGATGACCTGCCCCTTGTCTGTTTTTTCCTCTTCTTCCCCAACCTCCCTGTCCCTGCCCCTAGCTATCAATGGGCATGCTAGGGATGGGCTTCATGGCCTCGTACCTTCCGGAGGCTGTGACCAGTGCTTACCTGGCTGCTGTGGCACTGCACATCATACTGGCTCAGATGACATGCATCTTTGGGATTATGGTCAGTTTCCACTCTGGCCCCATCTCCTTCTTCTACGTGAGTAATCTCAACCCTCCCCCAGATTTCAAACGCTCCTCCCCTGGCCTCCAAAGAGAAGTGGGCCCAAGTGGAGAGACTCCTGCCATCCAAAAAGGACATGCTGCTGATGGGCCACTCACCCACGAGGGGCCTGGAAGTAGCTCCATCTCCTGTAGAGTTAGGGTCTTGGTCAGCTGCAGGAGCCAGTAAGAACAGCTGCTCAGCTGCAATAACCACTTCAGCTTAGCCTTTTAGGGAAGATGGTTTACATTAAAATGTGGTCATGGGGCCAGTGAGTTGGCTCAGCTGGTAAAGGTGCTTGCCACCAGGCTTGGGACGACCTGAGTTCAATCCCTGGAGCCCACACAATGGAAGGAGAAAACAGACTCCTGCAAGTTGTCCTCTGACATGCTCACACCCACGCACATACACATGCTAAATAAATAAATGTAAAAAAATTGTTAATTTGGTCATCATTTTTCTCCCTATTACATGCCTCATAGCTGATCTGTCTCCTGAAACATACAAAGAGTATAAGTAGCCCCTGAATGAAAAAATGAAATAAAACCTCAGCTAAAGAATATACATGGCCAGGAAGCTGACAGCAGAGAGCTTAATGAATAGAACGCTTAGGTCCTTCCACCACCCTGAAACATACAAAGTATACTTTCTCCTTGCTCAACATTATTGCCTCTGCCTCTTTTAATGTCTCCTCTTCATCTTAAAAAAATACATATGAAGGGGGCTGGGAGGGTGGATCAGCGGTTTACAGCACCGGCTCCTCTTGCAGAGGACCCAGGTTCAATTCCCAGAACCCACATAGCAGCTAAGAACTGTCTGTAACTCTAGTTCCAGGGGATCTGATGCCCTCTTCTGACCTCCTCACATGAAGGCAATACACTCATATACATACAATAAAACTAATAAATAAAAAATATTTTTAAAAATATTTATCAAGCCAAGCCTGGTGGTACAGGCCTGTAACCACACCTACTTGGGAGGCTGAGGTGGGAGGATCTGAAGTTCAAAGCCTGCCTTGGGCTACAAAATGAGTTCCAGGCCAGCCTGGACAACTTATTGAGACCCTGTCTAAAAATAAAAAGTAAAAAGAGAGTGGGGGTGTGGCTGTGTGGCAGACACTTGCTAAACATAAGTGAAGCCCTGGGGTTCGGTCCCTAGTGCCAAGAAAATAACAATCACGACCCCTAGCCCTCAGGTCTGCACCTCAATGTTCCAGTAAAGCCACAAACACCTCGGGGTCCAGCAACTCTTCCTTGCTCTCTAATCTGGAAAACATAACCTTTTATAGATTTTAGCAACTGTTATATCCCTTTCTAAAGAAACCACGGCAATTTTTTCTTCTTTCAGAACATAATTAACTACTGCATGGCTCTCCCCAAAGCGAATTCCACCAGCATCCTGCTGTTCCTAATATCTGTCGTGGCTCTGAGAATCAACAAGTGTATCCGCATTTCTTTCAACCGGTACCCCATCGAGTTCCCCATGGAGCTGTTTCTGGTACGTGTCTTTGATGCCAGATTTCATGATTCAGATCATTGAAAATACTTTTTAAAAAAAAAATCATAAAGCAAGTACCTAGGGAGGCAAATATTAGGGAATTAAAAAATAAGAATTTGGAGGCTGGAGAGATGGCTCAGCAGTTTAGAGCCTTTGCTGCTCTTTCCTGGGACCCAAGTTCAGTTCTCAGCACTCATGTTGGGTAGCTGATAACTACCTGCAATTACAGCTGGGCATAGTGGCACACACCTTTAATCTGAGCACTCAGGAGGCAGAGGCAGGTAGATCTTAGTGAGATTAAAGCCATCCTGGTCTTAAGAAAAAAAAAAAGAATTTTAAATACTGAATTAGGCAAAGCTGAATATACAAATATACAGTTTTTAGTATCCCAGGCTGGCCTCAAATTCATGACCCTCCTGTTTCCGCTCCTTAAGTGCTGGAATTCCAGGCACGTGCCACATAATGGCTACGAAATGCTTTCATTTTTATTTTATTTTTTAATTTAATTTATTATTCGTGTGCGTGTATGTGTGTGTATATACAGGTGCATGTGTTCCACAGTGTACATGTGGAGGTCAGAGAACAATTTTATGGCATCAAGTCTCTCTTTCCACTGTGGGTTCTGGGGATCAAACTCAGATTGTCAGGCTTTCAGAGCAAGGACATTTCACAGGCCCAAATGCTTTCATTAAAACATTTTTTCCCTCATATGTTTGCTTGCACAAGTGATGTTTCAACACACGTATATATCATGTTAAATCAAGCTAGTTATCATCTCCATCACCACACATGCTTATCTTTTCTGTTTGTTGTTTTGGCTAGTTTGTGAAACAAGGTCTCACTAGACAAGCCCCAAGCTAGCCTCAATTCTCCTGTGAGTGCTGGGATTACAGGCATGCACAACCCTGTCCAGCTATCATTTTTGTATTGTGAAAATATTTAAGATCTACTGCCTTGGGGCTGGAGAGATGGCTCAGCGGTTAAGAACACTGTTCTTGCAGAAGAGCTGGGTTCGAATCCCAGTACCCACATGGCAGCTAACAGTTGTCTGTAACTCCAGTTCCAGGGGACCCAACAGCCTCTTCAGTACTCTGTGGGCATTGCACGACACGGGTACACTTACCTACATGCAGGTATAACACTCATACACATAAAAAAATAAAAATAAATAAATAAATTTTTAAAAAAAGAAAGAGGGAAGAAATTCCTGTATCTAAAGTCAACGCTATTGAAACTTTTCTATATTCACCTCTCATTTCTTGACTCTTTCAAGCACAAACAACATGCTCCCTGTTGGTGAATGACCCTCATTTTCTCTGTAGAAATTGTTCCTACACTAATGTACTGACAGTCATACTGTCATTTCAGTATGATTTCAATCTCATGACATCACAGTTAATAAACTGGGGCAAAGAGTTCAGATTTCTCTGTCACTCGGAAGCAGCAGACCTGTGACTCACTGCTGTCTAAAGACAGTTTTTTTTCTCTTTATGTCAGCAAGTAAAATTCATCTTTGAGTCGGGTGTGGTGGCGCATACCTTTAATCCTAGTACTTGGGAGGCAGAGGCAGGCGGATCTTTGTGAGTTCAAGGCCAGCCTGGTCTACATAGTGAATTCCAGGACAGCTGGGGCTACAGGGAGACCCTTTCTCAAAAAGATAAAAAAAAATTTTATCTTTATTGTTGTGATGAACACTTCTACCACGATAAAGATGCTTCCGCAAACAAACCTCAAGTTTCAACATCAGCATTTCTCATACTGGGATGGTTGAATTCCTAGGTGTTCATGAGAATTCTTTTCCTCTTCAGTAATGTTCTGTGCAGAGACACTTGACGTTCCCCAAATGCTCACACCGTCCCCTGCATTTCCCAGGGGGCTTCATTTGAGCCAAGCATCACAGGTAAGCCAACTGTGGTCCTGCTCCATGCCTGGCAGAACTCTGAGAGTAAAATCCAGGTGGTAAAGACTTCTTTTGGGGGAGGAACATGAGGTGAGGCCACCATATTTTTATTATTTTTAAATTTGGGATTGCAGGTCTCTTGTCTCTGTTTTGAGGATTTTTTTCAAAAATTATGTTTATGAGGGGCTGCAGAGATGGCTTAGCAGTTAAGAGAACTGGCTGCCCTTGCAGAGGACCTTGGGTTCAGTTTCCAGCAACCACATGGCAGCTCATAACTGCCTGTAACTCCAGTTCCAGGGGCTCTTCTGGTCCCTGCAGGCACTGCATACATGAGGTACACATACATACAGTCATACACATAAAATGAAAATAAATAAGTCTTCTAAAAAATTTATGTGTGTGCAGATATGTGCACATGAGTGCAGGTACCCACAGGGGCCAGAGGCATTGGATTCTCCTGGAGCTGAAGTTACAGTGGTTGCGGGCCACCCTGTATAGGTGCTGGGACCCAATCTCAGGTCCTCTGCAAGAATAGGATGCACTCTTAACGGCTAAGCCATCTGTCCATTCTCTTATCTCTGTTTTAATCTGATTCCATGCAAAGGCTTTATGTGGTCCCTCAGCTGTTGTCCAGAAAGACTGGCCATGTTTAGAAGTGACTGAAATCTAGGTGTGAGGGCACATGCCTGTAATCTCAGCTCTTAGAAGATAGAGGCAGGAGGATCAGGGTACATAGTTTGAGACCAGCTTGGGCTACAGTATGAAACCCTGTGTCACAAAAAGTGGGGCGGGACTGGGAAGACTGCTCAGTGGTTAAAATGCTTGCTGTGCAAGCAAGAGGACCAGAGTTTAGACCCCCAGAACCCATGTAAATGTAGAATGCCAGGTATGACTGTGATTCCAGCCTCAGAAGTCAGAGTAGGGAATCCCAGGAGCAAATTGGCTAGGGACACAAGCTGTATTGGCAAGTTCTGGGTTTGACTGAGAGACCTTGCCTTAATGAATAAGATGGAAGAGTGGTCAGGGATGATTCCCAGCATCAACCTCGGGCATCCACACAAATGTGCATGCACACACGCGTGCACACACACATCCACACACACACACATGCATATGTGCGCACGTACCCTCTACATACACGTAAAGCAAAAGGGAAAATGTGAATGAAAAGTGGAGAAAACAGATAATAGTTTTTAAAAATATTTATTATTTTCATTTTATGTGTATGAGTGTATTGCCTGCATGTGAATGCACCTGTGTCGTGCAATTCCGCAGAGGTCAGAAGAGGGCATTGGATTCCCCTGGAACTAGCGTTAAGGACGGTCCATAAGCCGCCATGTGGGTGCTGGGAATTGAACCCGGGTCCTCTGCAAGAGCAGTCAGTGCTGTTAACCATTGAGCCATTTCTCCAGCCCCCAGATAATAGTTTTATGTTATCAAATGCTTCTGTAGGATGGTAAGGGTTAGTCACATGACTCTCACTTACTATACCCCACATGCCTTACAAGCCTTATCAATATTGTACAATGCACCTGGATCTAAAAGCAGTTACAACTGAGACCATGATACAGCTGGTCCAGGGAAACATGTTCCTGTCAGTGTTGATGTTGATAGTTGATGTCAGGAGAGAGGCCCACAGTGTCTGTTTCCATAGCTGTGTCAGAGACCCAGGCTGCAGTTATTTGTGTTCCCAGGTCAAAAGGAGCTTGGAGAATCAAAACATGAGGTCTCTCTTGACCTTCCCGGGTCGGGATGGCCGCATGTTTCGTTTGCTGTCCTGTCGGGCTCTGAGCACCTGTGCTTCTGGAAGCACTCCCAATGTTTAATCACACACTTCCCTTTTTAACTCCTGCAGATTCTTGGCTTCACCATACTCGCAAGCAAGATAAGCATGGCCACAGAGAACAGCAGAACGCTGATTGACATGATTCCGTACAGGTCAGTGGATCCACTGTTCCAGACTGCTATTCCCTGATTTTGTTTTTCTGTGACAGCCCAGGCTGGCCTCAAACTCACAGTCCTTCTGCCTCAGGCTCTCAAGGGTTGAGATGACAGGCATGTGCCTCCATACCCAGCAGTTTTGCCCCATTCGGATGCCCTCGCTTAGCCTCTCACCATACAGCCTGACTGATAGCCTTTCCTAGCAGTATCTGGTCACCACCAATTTCATTTTATTTATTTATATAATTTTTTAGGATAATACTCTTTTTTATTAAGTTTGTTTGTTTGTTGGGGGCATGCACATGGCACATGTGTAGTTTAAGAGGACAGCTTGCAGGACTTGGTTCTTTCCTTCTAGCACTATGTGGGACCTGGGGATCCAGCTAGGTTGTCAGGCTTGGTGGCAAGTAGCTTTACCCTCGGAGCCATCCCACCATCCCTAAATTCACTTTAGAGCTCAGAGGGATTGCTTCTCCACCTTTTGGCTGAGATCAAGGGTAGAACGCAGAGCTTTGTGAACGGAGTAGACCAGCACAGGTCCCTCTTTCTTTTTTGGTCAGTCTTTTTTCATAAGAAAGTCAGCTGGTTTACCCAAGATACCTGCTGGATGCCCTCAATACCAGAAAGTCTTGTCTCTTTTCTTCGGGCATTAGAGGGCTCAAGAAGCCCCATCCCCGTCTGATTAATCCCCAAGAGTAGGATGAGAAAGCCAGGCATGGTGGTGCCCACCTGGAATCCCAGCAGTTGGGAGGCAGAGGCAGGAGGATCAGGAGTTCAAGGACAGCCTTGACTGCATGAAACCACCTCTGCCCTCCCCACCCCCTGCCCCCCAAAAGGATTAAAACTCGAGATCCCTATTTTCTAGCCTCTCTGCTGGGGTTCTGTGTTCAGGAGAGAGCAGTTCCTTTTGTCATCACCCACTTGCATTGAATGTAGGGGCCACCGTGGCTGCTCCTGATGCTGCTGCTCCTCCTCCTCTTCTTCTTCCTCCTCTTGTTCCTCCTCCTCCTCTTCCTCCCCTTTCTCCTCTTCCTTTTCCTTCTTTTAAACTACTCTGGGATTGAACCTAGGGCCTCATGCATGCTAGGCAAGTGCTTTACCACTGAGCAACATTCTCTTAATCTGGGTAGAAACGTATCCTCAAATAAGCCCACAGATGGCGTTCTGAAGGACTCATGATTCCTTTGCTTTCTTTTCCATCTGCCCAGTGACTACCAGGTAGACTCTTTTCAGGTTAGAAAGTTACCGTTATCAGGGCTGGAGAGACGGCTCCGCAGTTAAGAACACTGGTTGTTCTTGCAGAAGACCTGGGTTCAAATCCCAGCACCCATATGGCAGCTAACAACTGTCCATAACTCCAGTCCCGGGGGATCCAACAGCCTCTTCTGACCTCTGCAGGCATTGCACGACACGGGTGCACTTACCTACATGCAGGCAATACACGCATACACATAAAATAAAAATAACAAATAAAATTTTTTTTTAAAAAAAGAAAGTTACTGTTTTCTGACCTTGTCAGAAGAACACAGCTCCTTTCCCCACACTGCACAAGGGGGAATCCCGCAGAGTCAAGGACACTGGCTGAGCTCCAGGGTAACCACAGGTAGCTGTTTGATGCAACTAGATTGAACTAGACCCGCAGACCTATATCCTGAAAGTCCTCCATGAAATCTGAGGACAGCTAATCCATTTGAAATTCTATTCAGTTGAGAAAAATGAGCAGACACCACCTACACAGCATGTGGAAGGAAGACAAGGCAAATCAGACGTGGCCTCAGCCCTCAGGGAAAATAACTGGAGGCAGAACCAACATGGTACACACCTCATCTGCTCCCCAAAGAAGTACAAGGCAGGTGCTATCCTCCTGCAATGGATGAGGAAGCTAAGGCTTCTGAGGTTTCGATAACTTAGTTGAGAGAAGACATCTGGCCAGTGGCAGAGCTACTATTTAAACTTGTTTCTATATAATTCCAAAGTCTATGATTACAACCACATAACTATACTAACATTCAATGTGCTTACATTAAAAAAAATTTTTTTTGAGGAGGGGTGCATGCCACAGCATGAGCATGGAGGTCAGAGGACAACTTACAGAATTCAGTTCCTTCCTTCCACCATGTAGGTCCTGGGTGAAAACTCAGGTCATCAGCCTTGGCAGCAGGTGACTTTACCCACTGAGTCATCTCAAGGCCTGGCTTGTACTCTTAATGGTGTAAACGCCACACAGCCAGCTTTAACTTATCTTTCACTGTAAGATTCAAGGAGACGTATAAACAAGTGAACATTTCAAAAATGTAATTTAGACATTGCTTTGAATGTTCTTTATTTGAGCCTCTTTTATTTATCCATGGTTGCTAGGGAATGGCAAAATTAGACATTTTAACTTAGCTCTTGCTCTGTCCTTGTTGCTTTGTGTTTTGTTTTGTTTGGCAGTGGTTTTTGTTTTTGTTTTGAGACATGGTCTCTTGAATTCCTGATCCTCCTGCCTCCACCTCCCAAGTGCTGGGAAGCCAGGTGTACTCCACCACACCTGGCTCCTTTGTTCTTCCTAAGCCTTGTTTGCTGATAAGAATGTTGCAGAGAACAGTGAGAAGAAAAAGTGGTTTATGTTGAGTTTGTAATAATCTGTATTTATTCTATACCTCTTTGGGACAGTCACATTCTTTCCTAACTTCCTGCAAGGACAAAAAGTGAAGTGAACTTCAAGCATGATAAGATGCTTTAATTAGATAAAGCTTTATTTTCTCTGTGGAAAAAAGTCTACCACAAAAAATAACTGTCCCACATATATTAGTACGTGATCTTGCTAAAGTTGGATCTTTACATTGTTTTCCAGAGCTGAATCAGCCATTGAGTCATATATATTTGTGTCTTTGATTAAATGTAAAAGACCATCTCAAGAAGAAACATTTCAGACACACACCACACACACACACACACACACACACACCACACACACACACATACACACACACTACACACACACACATGAACGCGCACACACACAGACATAATCACCAGTGAAGGCTTCAGGGAGGGGCTGAG